ATTGTGTACTCTAAACCAAGCATGTTAGAGTCATGTAAAAACAGGCATGTAAAAACAGGCATGTAAAAACAGGCTAATGGGAAAAGTGGACAAAAGAAATCACATATTGTAAAACACAACGCAGGAAAATCAGAGTGTAGGAAATGAAGAAAAAGCTGCAGCCACAGGCCATATGGGGTGAGAATTCAAACAAATGAGGCGTACTGGCACCCCGCGTCCACATGACTGGGATTTCAACTCATATTTGAGATTAAAACCATTTATAAAACTGCCAGCGTGTTTGTTTAGCGACTTCACTAATTGGTCTGCCTTAATGAAAATGGTTTATTATGCATTAAAAAGAGGATTAATCAAACACATGGGCAGCTCAACATCTAGACAAAAAGGGTCTGTGTGTTCTAAGTTTAGGTAGTCAGTCTGGAACCTGTTTCCGGTAGGGCACTTTTTAACGCGAGTCCCACCAGGGGGATAATCTTGTGTTACAGGAAGTGGTTCCCCAGGTAGCTTCCTCTACAAGCATCACTCCAGATGTGCTCCAACGCTTGGTTTATTAAATGTGATTAGTCTTTAGGACAAAATACAATTTAACACCACAGTGAACACAATTGATCCGACAGGTGAAGAAAAGTGTTTTCTGCAGTTCAATGTTGGGAATGTAACACTAGCTGCACCTGCGAACATAAACACAGCTACTCTGCCAAAAAGAAATACGGGGTGCATAATAAATCCATAGCAAAGAAAATGAATTGTGTTGAGCACAGAAGAGCTGTCCAGTTCACCCTGACCCCGAGCTGCCAAGGCACGATTCAGGAAAAGATAATTTTCGCTCCGAGTAGAGCATATAAACAATATGGCTTCTCTCAAATGTGAAAGCAATCAAGGCACATCCTAAAAGAACTATGACATTGGGAGATTTGTTTGTCTTTATTTTGTCCAGAGTGGGTGTAAGTCCATTTCTCTCTCATTTGTTCTAAATGAAACTTATATGTCCCAGACCGCCATATAGAGACACTGTTTTTACTGTACATCATTCTGAAGCGTGAGAGACATATTAGCAGATGTGAACAGAAGGAAATTAACCTTCGGTTTTTGGGTGGACACTGTCATGGGATCAGTTTTTTTTTTACATTGAAAAATCGTCTAATGGAATCAAAATCTGTTCTGAGATCAGCATAAAAGCACAAGTTTAATGGTACTAATGAAAAAGCCCAAAGGTTTATACATGTGCACATTGGGTGGATTGACCTCTGTCCAATAAATACAGAAGGGTCAATCTAAGCCTTACATGTTGTAACAGGGACTGTCCCGAATAGGGATTGGTTTGAAGGCTCTACTCACGAAAAATCTGTCGGATCGCCAGAACAATGAACAGAAAACTAGAGCAGACTGCTTCCATGAGAAATGACTCTCGGGAGAAGAAAGGAAACCGAAATATAAATAAAAGGCAGTTTTCTCTTTCAGCAGTGTGTAAATAATACACCATTCTATCCTATAGATAAGCTTAGTTAAACAGGCATGTTTTTGGAGGAAATGGCTGGACTCGCAGCGGGTGTTTGTGTTGGGGGGGAGGACAGTGGTTGAAATTTGAACTACTAAAAATATACATCAATCCAATCTCTCATTCAAGACCACTAATCAGTGTGTTATAATTCCTACAGGCAAATGCATGTTTATTCTAAGCGGTACCAAAAATTTATATTATGTTAGAAGGGTTTATTATAACAACAACACTGATAAATTAAACTGCTTTCTGTACACTACCTGACAAAAGTCTTGTCACTTATCCAAGTTTTAGGAACAGCAAATAATAACTTGACTTCTAGTTGATCATTTGGTATCAGAAGTGGCTTATATGAAAGGCAAAAGCCTCTAGATTATGCTTATTTTACCAAATTAAAACATAATCCCACCTTGATTTAGTTATTTAATTAGGACAATAAGGTCTGACTTTGCTTAGACAAAAGTCTTGTCACTTAACAGAAATAATGTACAGTATAGAATATAAAGTCATTGTTCAGTGGAAAAAGAACTAATATTGTGTGACTCCCATGAGCTTGGAGGACTGCATCCATACATCTCTGCAATGACTCAAATAACTTATTAATAAAGTCATCTGGAAGGGCAAAGAAAGCATTCTTACAGGACTCCCAGTGTTCATAAAGATTCTTTGGATTCATCTTTAATGCCGCCTCCATCTTACCCCAGACATGCTCAATAATGTTCATGTCTGGTGACTGGGCTGGCCAATCCTGGAGCACCTTGACCTTCTTTGCTTTCAGGAACTTTAATGTGGAGGCTCAAGTATGAGAAGGAGCGCTATCCTGCTGAAGAATTTGCCCTCTCCTGTAGTTTGTAATGTAATGGGCAGCACAAATGTCTTGATACCTCAGGCTGTTGATGTTGCCATGCACTTTGCAAATCTCTTGCCCACATACTCAATGTAACCCCAAACAATGATTTTTCCTACATCAAACTTGATTGATTTTTGTGAGAGTCTTGCTCCATGCAGGATCCAATAGGCCTTCTGAAGTATTTGTGATGATTGGGATGCAATTCAACAGAGTATTCATTGAAAAAAAAAAATCTACCTTTTACTATTGTTCTAAATGATCATCTCAAAGTCATGTTAATATTTGTTCCTCTAACAACTGGGACTTTTGTCAGGTGATGTATATTCAAATAAAGGTCAAATTCAATAATAAATAAGTTCATTGCTATGCGTAGTTTGTGATGTTTTAGGGTATGTTCACGCTTTGATTAAAATAAAATCTGGTGTGATTGTTCTATTAGTGTAGTTTTTATAGAGTTGTTTATTATAAGATTAAAACAAAATGGATGCATGTTTTTTTCATGTCATAGATTCTACATTTCCCATTAGAGTCCAATATGCCATCTCAGATCAGATCTCAGACACTACACTCAGAATTTTCCAATTGCATGAAAAAGGGCAAATGGCAAAAATTTAATGGTAAATACAATTACCAGAAGACTACAATGTCTAGGGCTGAAAACATTAAAGCAAGCCAAGTACTGTCACTTAGTGGATCAGAACCAGAGACCACAGCCGGTTTGGTGGTATACATGTCAATGTGTGCGGAATGATGCCATAAGGACTCTGGATAACACCCATCATCTGTGTGTCCTTGCTTGGGCCAATGAAACCACAAGAAAATATACTGTAGTTACTGCAAGGGTACTGCAAAACCAACTGTGCTGCTGCGTGCCCTAAAATTAGTTGAAAAGATGTTGACTAAATTGGGAAACAACTGTCTTTTTTCACGGCCTCTGTTGAGTGACTAAAATAAATTCTGAATCTTTTGTGAAATTTAAATAGCTGCTAAATTTGCAAATCTTCAGATTGCATAAAGAACTTTTCGTAAAGACATTCTGCTTATTCTAGCTGCTTTTTTATTCCGGACAGATATATGTATCCATCAGTGATGTAAAGTAACACATTACAAATACTCAAACTACTGTAATTTGGTAGTTTTTCTCAGGAAATTGTTATTTACTAAGTAGTTTTAAAATGTGTACATTTACTTTCCCTTGAGTCCATTTTTAGTGCACTATCTGTACTTTCACTCGACTACTTTCCTTCAACCTGCTATCACTACTTTGATTTTCCTAATCCCCATAGACAGGAAAAAATAGTTCAGTGATTCCTGTCCAATCTAATCACACATAGAAGGTAAATCGCATCATAATGAACAACCTCAAGACATTGGCACTTTATAATTGCAGCAAACTGTTTGCAAGCATTTAATGTGTCCAAGAAGAGGCCAAAAATCTTTACACACAATGACCCAGAGATTGGATGCCGAAATGGCAGACTGTCCATCGGCCATCACTGTCCATCGGCCAACCTAAAATCAACCAAATATCAACGTCTAATGATGTTACAGCTTGACTTTGTATGGACGTTACCACTATGACGTCTCTCAAATGTTGGATTTTAGTTGCCATACCTGACGAATAAATGCCAGTATTTGACATCAATATGACGTTGGCTTAAGATGCTGGTTTGAGATTGGACTTTGGTCGGTTTCTTATACAACCGAAATCTTAATCAAATATCAACGTCACTTGACATTGTTATTGGACATCAAAATAACATTGTCCTTTGACACTGGCTAGACATTGAATTTTGGTCACCTGACATCACAACCTAAATCTAACATAATATAAATTTTTTCAGTACTCTTCCCACCACTGGTATCCATTTATGTGTGAGGTAAACACTCTTTTTCTTTCTTTGTCTCTTAATCAGTCACTCAGTCTCCTACTTCTTTTCCATACTGTGAACCCACAAACTAAATTCCTCCGAACACTGACCAGCAACTCTTTCCAAATACATGTTAAATGAACCAGCAACAATGCGGAATTCCAGTATTTATCTTAAAAGTTTGTTCTGGAGGGTATTTTCAACAGATGCTTCTGTTGGAAATGAACATTAAGGCGGCCCTTTGAAGTCTGGAATTGCTTATTATTGGGAGGTAAAAAAATGGAGGAAAACATGCCCCAATTTCCATTTCTTTTCCAGAGGGGTAAAAACAGCTTGAGTACACAGTTGGCCCAGTTGCCGCATGGTGGCAACAATTATCATGGCAACAGACTTAAACCAACATTTCAAAAGAACAACAAAGCACAATTTTACCATCTGCCAAACAACACTTTCTGCAGTTCTCCAAAAGAGGATAACATCTGTTAATCATATGTCATAATTACAAATTGTCTTGGTTAGTGAAATTACAAGTTTCATTGCTCCACAACTGCCATGGCTCTTTCAAGAAAGATTAAAATCACAAAACTCCTTTCAAGACATAACAAATAGTCTATCTTTTATAGCCCAATTTCCTTAATTGATTTTTCCTTTGAGAAAAACAATCTGAATATACATAAACAGCTATTATTGTACATTTAAGCAGAATGGACATTATAACTGAAATAGATTCAAATAAATAGCGAAGCGAATGAACCAAGTACAAAATAGAAGGACATACCTCAAGGAAACAGGTCCCTTCTGATGTGTTCTCCTTGATTGAAACATTGTAGAAGCTGCTTCCAAACACTGGCTCATTATCGTTAGTATCCTGGAGGTCTATTTCTACCACAGCAGTGGAGGATAATGGGGGTCGTCCTCCATCAGTGGCCACTACTTTGATACTTGGCTTTGGGATTGTCTCATAATCCAGCTTGGTTGCGGTGGTTATGATCCCAGTGACAGGGTCAATGGTGAACCAACTGGAATGTGTTTTCTTGTCTGGTAGGATGCTGTAGCGGATATCACCATTGGGACCTTGGTCTTTGTCCCTTGCGGTCACTTGCAGCACAAAGCTACCTGGGTAGACTACTTCTGGTATGGTCTGCTTGTATGCCTGTTGGTCAAATAGAGGTGGGTTGTCGTTTACATCCGTGACATGAATTGTAAACGAGGATTCTGCATGTAGTGGCGGGGTTCCAGAATCAGTAGCCATGACACGAAGCTCATAAGAATCCCTCTCTTCCCGATCCAGAATCTGGTCTACATAGATGAGGTAGATGATGCTGTCTTTAGTGGTCAAGGCAAATTTGCCATCACCGCCCTCAAGAGACACATTGACATTGGAGTACTCCCCATAATCAGGGTCCGAGACGGAGATTCTCGCAACATATTGGCCAGGTTGAGCACCTTCTGAGATTTGGGGCGAGCCATCTTCACTGAGAAAGATAATGGTCATGGTTGGCTGGTTATCGTTGTAGTCTCGAACGTGGATTGTAACAAAGGCATTCGTAATCTCTGGGTGGCTAGCATTATCTCTGGCTTGCACTACCAACTCATGAACCTTCCTCATCTCATAGTCTAGAGCCTTATTAAGTGTAATGATCCCAGAGCGAGGATCGATGACAAAATAGCGATCTGGGTCACTTTGCCGTCGGTTTATCTCATACAACACAAGGCCGTTGTCTCCTTCATCAGCATCAGATGCAAAAACCTGAAGAATGTTGCTGCCCTGAGGAAGGCTCTCAGAGATGATGGCATTGTATCGACTCTGGTTGAAAACCGGTGCATGGTCATTGATATCCTGAACCAGGATGTCAAGTGTCATCTGTCCGTTCTGCCTTGGAGATCCACCATCAAAGGCCTCAACCACTAATGAATAGGAGGACCTCTTCTCTCTGTCCAAGACTCCATTGACCACCAAGTCAAGGTAAAGTACTTTGTTTGCTGCTCTTTTGGTCTCCAGTCGGAACACTTGTCCAACATTGCCTTCTTTGATCTGATATCCTTGTACAGTAAGCTGATCCTTATCTGCATCAGTGGCTGGCTCGAGAGAGAACTTAGTTCCCACTGCCGTTTGCTCTGGGATCTTCAAAGAGGCTTTCTTCTTAGGGAATGTGGGAGCATGATCGTTGATATCATTTACAGTGATAGAGACCTTGACTGTGAAACCTGTCATAGTGACTGCTATAAAACTGTAATGGTCCCTTTCCTCTCGGTCAAGTCGCCTGGCGGTCTTGATGATGCCTGTGGTTTCATCAATGTGGAGATCACTACCAATGCCTGTGCCTTCATGGTCAGAGATGAAGTACAGAGAGGCTGTAACTCCAGGTTGCAAACCGGCACTGATATCACCCACTATTGTCCCCGCGGGTTGCTCCTCATCTAACTGGAGCTCCAAAATACCTGGTGTGCCCTCACCATTAACCATAACTGTTAAGAGTTCCGCTACAACACAAACCACCAACAGCATCCTTAGCCTCCGAATCACCCAAACCCAGAAGTGTCCATGTGTGTTTTTCCCAAAGTCATCAAAAAGAGTCATTGTGCCAAAGTTTCTTCACACCTGCAAAACAAAAAAAAGAGCAGACTGTCACTATTACATTAACATAACACAGTAAAAAAATGATGATACAGATCCAGCAATGATCTATGATTCCCTCACTGACTCTCACAAACAGCTGGAATGCATGAGAAAGTGCATTTGCTTCAGAAAGGAGAGGTTTCCCTTAGCCAGGACAGTAAAACTGTAAGCCGCTTCCACATGTTTTACAAGCTGTATTTTCAAAATACACTTTACACGCATGCATTTCCCATGGCTCCAACTTGCCTTATTAGTAATGCTGTCAGATTGTCCATACTGCTTTGATATCGTCAAAAGATCAACCTATTTTAATCAAGACATCTTTTTAATGTCATATTCCCATAAAAAGTCAATCCTCATTTTACTACCTAATGAATGGAAAATATATTTTATTTCCAGTCAGATGGCAGGGTACTGTATCGTCAGAGTAATTACTGCAAGTCACAAACTAAAAGACATTATATTGCTTAGTATGTAATGCTCTAGTTTACTCTAGAAAGCATACGCCCATTGGATGGATCAGTCTGGACTTTTTTTCCATGACAGTCTAAAAAAAGGCACAATTTATGATACCCATTGTTGTAATATTTTCCTGCTGACTTGAAATATGTTATTGGAACATAATTTAACAGCTGTTCTGTACATGGCTATTCAGGAGGCTATTAACATGGCCACAAAGTTAAGCTAATTTTCTTTAAAGAGAATTAAGAGTACAAACAGTAATGGCATGCCACATAGAATCATTCATATTTGAAAGGAGGGCATCAGATGACAAGACAAACACTATAATTCAAACACAAACATGGATGTTGGGATGTTGACATAATATTCTTCAAGTACAGTATGTTTAATCTTTAAACTAAAACCAGGCAAAAAACGTATTAAAGTAGTTAACTTCAGTCTTTATTAAAGCCATATTAAAGTGGAAATCATAAAAACGGAGCCACTAATTTTGAACAGAACAAAAGACATTACTAAGGCTAAAAGGCCAGACAGGAGCTTGGAGCATGTGTTTGGAAAACATCTCTACTCCTGTCATATGTGTGAAGGCTGAATCCTCTGTGAAGCAATCTGCTACAGATGGTCAGACGTGGGACTGATATTTTACAAGCCACTGAATAAGTGCATTAGGACAATTAGAAAATTATACTACTTTTGCTGGAATTGTGACAAACCTCAGGAGTGTTTGCACTTGCACTGACTAGAGTAGCTGTTGGTAAAGTCTGCATTATCCAAACCTCAATACATAATGATGGCAGATCATCACTGTGGGCCGTTGTGGTCTCTGTACATAAGTGGATTACAAATGCAATTTGTCCTTGTCAAATCTGTTCAAGAGTTCTCCAGTGAGATGCACAGAACTCACTGAAGGAAAAACTAAATATTGAATCTGGACTTCAATCTAATTTTTTAAACAAGGAAGAAGCTCTCCAGCTAAAACCACATGAATGTTTTCATTCATTGCAAGTCTGTTCGAACAGGCTCCCTCTTGTGGCCACAGTGAGTCAATAAGTTTGTGAAAACTTTTAAAAGTAGTTCTGTTAATATTTGTATATTATATGCAGAAATTGGAATCAAAATTTAAATTATATATAACAAGCATCGTATTCTTTCTAATCCTCGCCCAGTTTTAATACAAGTTGTTTTTATATTTGTGGCTGTGAAGTTTATTAAGAATATATATATATAGCCTACTTTATTTTTTTATACTTTAAGTGATCTGCTTGAGGTAGGTCACGTTTATCAATGGTAAGTTTTAGCCTAAGTTTACATCAATAACATAATGTGTATTGTCCTTTATCATACAAAAAAAAAAACAAGAAAAAAAAAAACATTATTATACATAGTTTCCTTTAGCCTATAAAAAGGCCGCAAATGCATTAAAAGGCAAGCGCATATCTTAGCCTTGAGTTTGTTCACACTCTGCCTGTATTAACATAAATGTTGTATTTTAATATAGCTTATTTTGATGAATTAGCTCTAACCTTTGACAGCTTTTTCTTCTTTTTCCGCGGTTATGCGGCATTATATTTCACACACATTTGCAAGGTGACTGAATATGAAGTTAAAATACAAAACATACTGAGCCATAAGTAAAAAAAAACAAAAAAACAAAACAACAGTTATAGCTACTTTAAAGGAGAACATTGACGTTTTGAAAAAAAAAATGAACAGAACTGAAACTAAATTATTAAAAATAAACCTGCAAGACTTAATTTATGTCCTGCGGCAAAAATAATTTTATTATACTTTTAGTGATCTGCTTAAGGTAGGTCAATTTATTTTTCTCAGTGTTTCACGTACTGTACGGCAATGTCTTTATATAAATAATTTATTTAGGCCTATTTTCATTATTCATTTATTTTCATTATTCGTTTATTATTCGTTTATGTACAATTGTTGAGACATAAATGAGATAGTAAAATATAATCAACAACGAAAATGGAAATAAAAACAGAAATAAAACATAAATGAAAATGTCTTGTCTTAGTCCTATCAAAATAGCAAACACTGAACATCTTTCTATATTTAGGCTGCTTTATTTATTTATTTATTTATTTATTTATTTATTTAAGACTACTTATTTGTACTAAATGTTTGTGCTTTCATTTTAGTTGTCTTTTACTACTTCAATTCTATTTTCCAAAACGAATCCTCTTTGCACTTAAAAAGTTTACAATAAAGCGTGTTAACAAATTTTAAATGATTAATGAAGGAATTATAATGCTTTGACTTATTGTTTAATATCATTTACAAGCACAGTAGCTGTATGGGCTATTTCTGTCCGTTCGCATCCCGTCCCTTTGCGCCCCCTGGCGGCTCATTCACAAACTGCGGTCATACACTAAAAACAGAGCGGCACCTATTTCAAACGGCGGCGGTACCAGCCGCGGCGTTAATAGCCACTTTGAACTCTCACCTACTGTATATACTGCATGTCTTTGGATTGTGAGGGAAACCTATGCGACCATGCGGAAAACATGCAAACCCCATAGAGATATAACAACTGTCCCAGCTGGGACTCAATCCAGCGACCTCCTTGCTGTGAGGTGACAGTGCAAACCACTGAGCCACCTAGTTCCTATTATTCAGTTCCTATAATTATCCGGTGTGCGAGCCCCTAGTTATGTCTTGGAGAGGTGGGTGTTTGTTTACAGTTCTATTGAAAGGAACCCTCAGAATACTATTCCTAGCAAGAGGTTTCCCAAATGTGATTTCTACTAAGTGTTTTGAATCCCTTGTGATTCCCTGCACATACTGAATCAATACAAATCAAATGATCATTAAAAAAGCAAAAAAATATATTTGTGAAACCTAAAACCTTGATTTCTACGATCAAGAGACCCCCCGTAGTTATTTGTGTGAAGTGCAGTGGGTCCAATGTTCAGCCTAATGAAAGTAGCAGAAATTGTGGGGCACTTGGGGGCCACATTCTGAGGTCATGAAGGCCCACAATGCATTGCCACACAATGCGTCTCGTTCTTATATTTAACAGCTTATTAAAATACAGAGCATAAAAAGGTAGTCGAGGGGGCCAGTGGAGCTGACGGTTTCTCCATCATGATCTCTCTAAAGTCAACATTGGGCAGACTGAGTGATTGACAGAGGCGTCTGAGGAAAACCTGTGGGGGGCCGTTGTCTAATTCAACATTTCTGCAGCGGGACAGAACTGAAGCTTACTGCCATGCTGGACCACAAAGATTCAATAATCTTCCTCAGAGCATTCAAACTATTTTGATAGACTTAATTCTTTTGTGAGACGGATTAAAACACTCAAACTGTAAGCAACTAAAAACATGTTGAACTATGAAAATGAGGCAGAAACCATTGCTCAGTAGGATATATCAATTTAAAAAACTTGGCACTATCTGAGGGACGAATGAGAAATCTTTCACCAAAACCTATGCTTATGATGGGACTAAAATGACTGAATACGGATGAGCAGTTGCCACAGTTTCCGCAGGCTAAATGGGTATGGAATTCACTCCCGCTCAGTTTTCAGTATTTAGACAACCACAGTGCCAGACCTCCTTGGGCTTTCTGCTTTTAGCCATCCAGCTGTCGTCAAGAGGCTGGAGTCGGCTGGTTTTCACGGTGAAGGTGGCAGGCGGGTCTTAGTACAAGATCCTGACTAGGAGGAGACTGGCTTATTTGGTTTTTATGGCAGTTGAGCTACACTAAGTCTCAGGAAGCAGGTGACAGATTAGCCAAGAAATATCGTTTCAGTATGGATCATTTGTCTAAATATAAAACTCAGTCAATGGGCATACAAGTAAAGAAGGATTTGTGTTGGCTCTGTACAGATGTCCATATAATTACATAAAAAGTCAAGCATGAGGCTTACATTGATTGGAACTCCATGTTTTCTACAACATTTTATGCTTTGGATATTAATTCACACATTACTGGGGTTTTAGCTCATACAGTATGGTAATTGCTTCTGGGTAAAATATAATTTAAATATATGATGAACAATTACATTATGCAGCTGAGAGGCTCAACAAAATATATTTTTGAAACTGAAAATATACTTAATTTAAAGGTGCAGTAGGTGATTGTCTTCAGAAACATTTTGTGTTATTTTTTAATGTATTTATATGTAGTTTTAGATTCTGGGTAAGGCATAAAACAAAAAAATGTTCATCCAATTAAATATCGTCGGGCCGATAATTGCCAAAAATTCTGATAAATAGCCCAAACTGTCAATAAAAGTGGATTTGAACAACTGCGCACCCTTTCACGCAGATCCGCCAAAGCATGTTTACACGAGCGTCATCGCTAAAAACAAATGCTGAATTAAAACTTTTTAAAATCCTGAATTAGTATTAGAGTTACTTTTGTACGCTGGTAGAAGGATGACATCATGACTGTATTTCCATGGCAAGTATTTTTAGACAGGTAATGTTATGTTTTAACTATTTTAGTCAAGCAAAGCTAATATCGATTGTGTTGCTATGAATAGGTTATATCCACAGAAGTTT